TCCCCTCCCCGCGCCGCAGCCCTACGACCCGCGGCTGCACGAGGTGGAGTGCTCGGTGTTCTACCGCGATGAGTGCATCTACCAGAAGAGCTTCGCGCCGGGCTCGGCGGCGCTGAGCACCTACACGCCGGAGAACCTGCTCAACAAGTGCAAGCCGGGCGACCTGGTGGAGTTTGTGTCGCAGGCGCAGTACCCACACTGGGCCGTGTACGTGGGCAACTTTCAGGTGGTGCACTTGCACCGGCTGGAGGTGAGCAACAGCTTCCTGACAGACGCGAGCCAGGGCCGTCGCGGCCGCGTGGTCAACGATCTGTACCGTTACAAGCCGCTGAGCCCCAGCGCCGTGGTGCGCAACGCCTTGGCGCACGTGGGCGCCAAGGAGCGCGAGCTGAGCTGGCGCAACTCGGAGAGCTTCGCTGCCTGGTGCCGCTATGGCAAGCGTGAGTTCAAGATCGGCGGCGAGCTCCGCATCGGCAAGCAGCCCTACCGGCTGCAGATCCAGCTCTCAGCGCAGCGCAGCCACACGCTAGAGTTCCAAAGCCTGGAGGACTTGATCATGGAGAAGCGGCGGAACGACCAGATCGGGCGTGCGGCGGTGCTGCAAGAGCTCGCTACGCACCTGCACCCGGCCGAGCCGGAGGAGGGCGACAGCGACACGGCGCGGACTACTCCGCCTCCCCGGCGCCCCCCTGCGCCAGGCTCGGAGGAGGAGGACCGAGTGGCGGTGGCGCACTGAAGGGCGAGCTGAGCTCAGCTGCGAAAGGGAGCTGTTGGCAGCAGCCACTGGCCCCTTCCTCCTTCCCTCCCTCCACTACTTCCTCTGCCATCTTCCGGGCCCCGTCTGGGATTCCTGGGCCCTTTGGACCAAGGAGAGTTGGTGAAATGCGCCGCCGGCTGTGGACGGGGGAGGAGGAAGGGGACAGAGGGAACAGGTAGGAGCACTTTGGCTGGGGGCTTTTCTTTCTGGCCCCTTCCATCTGCCTTCCCTTCCAAATCTGCCTTCCCTTTCACGGCGGGGTAAACTGGATTTGCCTGGTACTTAATCCCTGCTGGACCTGGGTCTCAGACCGACCCTACATAGGCACTCGGGGTTGGAGGAAAGTTCGGGCTACCAGTGCCTGTCACTGAGTCCCTTCCGTTTTCCTCTTTACCCCGGTTTTAGATACCCTGTACAAAACGCCAGAGCCGGTTTGGTTGGAGGCGCCACCGCGGGCCTGCAGAGAGTTGCTTATTTGCTTTCTCTATCTAGCTGTGTGTGGGATCCGGAAGCCTGGGGTGATTTGTTTCATGGGATTCCTGGGGCGGTGGGCTGGTGAAACCATGACAAGATCTGGGAGCAGCAGACCAAAACCAAGCAGCCCCTTATTAAGTGTAACAAATAGTTGTGCAAACTCGGGCTACAAACAAAGACTTTGCTACCTCCCTCCTCCCACCCCTGAGTAATTCGTCTGCAGGAGCTGGCTCTTAGCTGAGTCGCCTGCTCCCCCGCCCCTTCCCAGGTTACAAGTAAATCATTGTCAAGGGCCAGTCAGGGGAAGGATTCAATTAAGGTTGTGTTGAGCTGCCTTTGTTTCTCTTCTGCTGTTGCGGGGCACTTAGCGCTGCGTTGTTACCAGTGGAGGGAATAGCGTTTTGTGTCTCCGATCTAATTAAACCTGCGGGTCACAGATGGGGCTGGTTTGTGCTACCCCTTTAAGTATCCACTGCTGAGGCCAGCAAACAAGGGCGCCCTGGCAGGAATTAGTTAATCTGTCTCTTCCTTCCTGTCTCTTTCTTGAATAGCAAAGGTAACCCTCTTAACAGTAAGGCTTTGGTGGTGACCTTATGATTTTTATTTGTTTTTCTCTCACTGGCCCTTCACCCTACATTTGTTCTGCTGGTAGTAAAATCTTAAACTAGATAAGATACTTATTTGCTAGCCATTCTTCGTACAGTTCAATTCAAGGTGCAAAGTCTTAAATTGGGGCTGTTGCCTGGAGAGCACCCCTTCAGAAGGCTTCTTGAGAGGAGTGCCATCAGTCACAGATGGTACCCAGTGCAGTCAGCACAGAAGAATCTGGTGACAGTCCTAGTTCAGGTTGGGGACCGTAGGATCTATTAGTGGCAGACTTCACAGACACCCCTTGGGCCTGCTACTAAGCTGTAGTAGGAAGCTTGAACAGTTTCACAGTCCGCCATTGTACTCCTGTGGTCTCTGTAATGATGTGTGCTCTGGATTGCAGAATGCTTCGTTACTGTGCTTTGGCTAATTCTGTCTCAGAGCTGGGTAAGGTTTGAGGTTTCTTTCTTCCTTTCTTTAGGGAGTCATTATAGATGATACTGTACCAAACCTTGTGTGACCTAATTCTTTTAATAGTTGATGTAGACTCTCAGTGGTCCATGGCCACCCTTGAGCCTTTTTTTCCTGGAGATCTCTAAACCAAGGCAACAAGATGTGAAAGATGTTCTTACACACTTTTTTCAGACAGGGATATAACTGATTTAAGTTTTCTTTCATGCTGAACACAGTAAGGAGAGGCACAAGTAATGGCCCCTGGGGAGAGGGTAGGAGGGAAGAACAGAATGCCACTGTCCTGTAGTCCTGGCCTTGCCAGCTCTCCTTTTCCTACTCGCCACCCTGTCTCCTTCAGCCCCCAAATGGAAAAGTGAATGTCTGGTCACAGAGAGGTACAGCGGTGACTGTGGGTTGTCACAAAGTCTTTCTACAACTCAAAGAAAGAGCTCCGGTAAAGTCCATGACAATAGTAACATTAACCTCTAGAGAGGTTTTTGATAACAGAGCTTGGAAATGAACTGGAATAGGTCATCTGTCCATCCTACATACTGCTTTCCCATGGAATGCAAGTGTTCCTACAGGGCGTACCAGAGACGTTAAGTTTGTCATGCATAGAACAGTGATCCCATTGGAAGTTTCCTTAGGGTTTTGGTGCTTAAAGGAAGTAACAGCCCACCAGTTGAAGACTCCAGGAAAGGGAATGGAACCAACTCTTGGTTCTCTCCTTAAGGTGGCAGTGTGTGTGGAAAGTGCGTTTTTAATGCTATGGCAGTGGCTACATCTGGCACTTTAGAACAAATAAATATATTTACTAATTTTTGTTTCTCCTTAGGAATAAGACTTTAGAACTGTTTTGTACTGTGAATTATGGATGCTCTTTGAAGGAAAGAAATATCGATTGTAATGTTCTTCAGAAGCTCTGGCAGGGATAAGCAGATCATCGAATGGAACGTATGCTAATGAAACCAGACAAATTCTATTTTCTTACCTGAGCAAATATTTTATTGAAACTGCTTATGTATGTCACAGGAGCCCACAACTTCAACTACACAACTTTTTGTATTGCAAGAACTCATACTTTTTTGTAGCTTTTACTCCACGCTTAATTTAAAAATGACTTTTTAGCACTAAAATGCCTAGCAGAAGACTTTACTCCAGACCTAAGGAAATTTTTAGTTTTTATGAAAAATTACAGTTGAGTGGTTACTCTTCTCGTGTCTTTGGTGCTTCTGTTCCTAAGAGCACCACCGGACAACACCACAACCACATGGAAACATATTTTTGGAAGCAAAACTTTAATTTTATATGACATATGCTATGGAGAGCTAAGAAAATTTAAGGACTACTTGTTTTCTATTTTTTTCTTAATAAAATGGAATCCACTGTGTTGAAGACTCTTGTTATTATGTGCTAGTCTAACCACTTTTTATAAATTAGAATAAAATCTAGTGTGATCATAGTCATCAAATGGATTTATTTGAAAAGTTACATTTTATGTGTGAATTTTTAAATCAGGGTAACTGTAAACTTGACTTGGTTCAACTTTTTGTTATGTTATTTTATTCTTGACTATAATACCTGTGCCCCATGGAAAGTTGATTAACAGGATAAATTCCATGTGTGTTTTATTTTCCAATGAATTGTATAAACTATTTTTGTTGAAGATTGTATGTTTAATCAATGTTATGTTCTTATACCACTTCTTGAGAAGGAAGTTCTGATTCAAAATTGTATCATTTCCTTCAAAATGAAGGGCAGTGCTTAGTTAAATAAAAGATTGATGATATCTTTTAAGCCATTTCCTCTCTCCTATGTCTTATTAAAATAAAACCTGTCAAGTCATTTTTGAGAAAGGCTATAAGGGTCTTTAATCAACTATCACTTAATTATTAAGTTTTCCACTTGATACTTTCTTCTGACATTTTTGGTCCACATTCAAGGTTTTCAACTGATAACTACAGTTTCTCTGAGAATATTAGTGTGGATTGTCTTTGCGTTGCTCAGTAAACATTTCGTGAATTCATTTAGTGACTGAATACCTTGCATTTCCTGTGTGAGAATGAATCACCCATTACTTCTAAGCTATCAGTGTTAGTGAGAGATGGTCATTGGGAAAATCATGAAACATTTGCATAGAAAAATAAAAAGATATCATGACTTTCCTGATGACCTAATATCTTAGGAACATAACTTTTCAGAATCAATGCTAAAATTGCTGGAAAACACACTCACTTTATAGAATCTATGCTGGGGAGTTTCGTTGTTCAGTAACCCACCAGTAACTTGTGTTGTCAGACCGAGAACATGCTGGCTACATCATTTAATTACAGAAAATGGGCGAATGTGATCATGTTGCATTACTGGCTTGATAAGGGGTGCAGGTGCCAATAGGAACAGATGTGGCATCTGAGACCAGCATGTGGAAGGTCACTTGAACTCTCTATACCAATGCCTGGCTGCTACTGCCCATCCGGTGAGGTTCAAATGCCTGAGGTTTTGTTAACAGGCTCTTGTGAGGATTTTAAAGAGGAAGAAAGTTAAATGCTGAAGGTTATAGGGAGCCCAAGCAGCAGTGAGACCATTTATCCCCAGAATGGGAGTGTTTAATTTATCATGGTTTTCATTGTACGAGAAAGGGGACGCCTAATACTGAATGTGCATTTATTCCTGAGTGATTTGAGTGGAGGCTGCTGTTCCTATTTCTCTTAAGTGGACTGAGCTTATTTAATGTAGGAAAAATGACACGTTTGGAAGCATTTTGAAGGCCTTTCAAAAAGAGCAGGCCAAGAATATGTGCAGAAGGACTTTTATTTCTTACTGAATCCACTGGGAAACTGCTTATTAAACAAATAACAGCAATTTCATCTGCAGAGTAGGTGCAAGAATGGCTAGTGTCTTCATCTGTAATTCCAATAAGGAGCTGAGTGTTGATGAAGGGCTAGAGGATGCTGAGCTCCAGCCTAAGAATGAGAACATAAAGAGGTTTCTAAAACAAAACAAAGCACTTGAGAAACGGTTCTATTCCTTATTTCTAAGAAGAAATCAGTTTCCTACACAGAGGACAGCTTATAGGAAAAGTTGGCCCTTGTAAAGGACTGGTGGTTGGTGAGTATGCAAATGAAGCAGAAGTTGAAGTTTAATTGGAGTGGGAGACTGGTTTTAGATAGGTGTGTGGAGTGTGTACTCCAGTCGGAGAACTCAGACCAAAAACATGAAGGGACAAGTAATGATAGAGAAAAGGGAACTAATATCAGGTTGTCAGGAGAGTCATGACACAGTTTTGCTTTGAAAACAGAAAAATACATCATGACTTTCCTGACAACCTAATATTAAGTCATATTCACTGAGTACTTAAGAAAGCTCCAATGCCTTATATACACAGATCCATAGTTACTGTCCTGTAATTTCCATTTTAATGGGTAAGATAGATAAGTACCTACCAAAAAAATTCACAGAAAGGTACATAATAACAGTTAACAGTTGTGACAGCAATGAAGAAGACCTACAGGAGGACTTAAGAGAAATCATGGAAAAGTTAAACCAAGGTACCAGTTTATTCTGGCACACACAAAAAACCAGAATTCCTTGTGTGTTTTTTCATAATGTGTATTTTCCATGAACTTTTTTTTTTTTTTTTTTTTTTTTTTTTGAGGGGTTTTTCATTTTATGGCGCGTGC